CTAAATAACAATTTGCTGTGGTACTTGTGACTTGTCTTTAAGAAGTGTCGGTTCCTTAGGTAAACTATCTTCTTGGATGCATCTAGGTACACCCATGTAGTACCATCCAAGCAAACCAAGCATCCCGTCTTCCCTTTGATCTATCCAAACAAAGCAAACAACGCGGGGTAATCATTGGTAGTAACAAATATTATTGCTCTACATATGAAGTCCTCCTTTCGGAACGCATCGTACATCGGCTCCCCATGCCTCCATAGTCTCTCCATTTCTTGCATCAAAGGCTCAAGGAACATGTCTATATCAATGCCTGGTTGTTTAGGGCCAGAAATAAGAATAGTGAGGAGAAGGTACTTTCTCTTCTGACACAACCACGTTGGGATATTGTACATGGTCAAGATCACTGGCCAAGTGTTGTGGTCGCTCATCCTCTCATTGAAGGGATTCATTCCATCGGTGCTCAAGCCAAACCGTACATTTCTTGGGTCATCGCTAAATTCTTTGTGCTTCTCATCGAACCTTTGCCACTAACTAGAATCAGCCGGGTGTGCAATCTTATCATCATCCACCTTGCGCTCATCATCCCACCATGTTATGAGTGTGGCTTCTTTAGGGTTTAGGAAGATACGTCTCAAGTGGTCGGTCACTGGCAGGTACCACATTACCAAGGCAGGAATTCCTCTCTGCTTTACATCGTTGCCTAATGGAGTGTCCTCTGGGGGCTGAGATTCTTATACCACCTTTTTTGTACCCTTCCTATTCCCCTTTTTCCCCGTGGAGGCTTCGTCCCCACCGTAAAGGTCATTGTTCTTGTACCGGCTAGCCCCACACTAGGGACATTTATCTAGTGACTTGAACGTTTCACCATGAAAAAGTATACAGTGGTTGGGGCATGCATGGATTTTTTCAACCGCCATTGTCAATGGACTTATGACCTTCTTTGCTTGGTATGTGTTGGTGGGAACTGAGTTTGGTTGTGGCAATGCCCATGACAGGAGATGCAATAGATCATTGAAACTACAGTCTGACCAGCCGTACTTAGCCTTCAGGATGAGTAGCTCAAGCACAAAATGTAGCAATGTCCAATGTGTCGGACAGCCCTTTTCAACACCATACACAGTCTGCTTCGATGCTTTTGTCACTATTTCTAAATTTTCTAGACCTTTCGGGCTATTTAGTAAAATCTCTGGTCCAAGGGCTCGAATCATGTCCTCCAAATCATCTTTATCCCCGACACGTGCTCCACCATCATTATTGGCACCACCTTCATCGTTACCATCCCAACCATCAGCATCACCACCTTGTTCATTGCCAAACTCAAAATCCATTCGTGCATCAAGCTCTGCTGAATATTGGGTCAGGGATTCTATGGTTTCGTCGTCGTATTCCTCCTCATCCACGTCATTAACAATAACCGTTTGACCATGATGAATCCACACTGTGTAGTCCTCAACAAATCCTCGTATAATCAAATGTGATCTGATGATAGTCACATCTGTCCATGACATACAGTTCTTGCAATCTTTACAGGGACAAATAATTGTATCCTTATTCTCTGTCAATGTCGTTGCATGCTTCTTTGCGGCTTCAATAAATTTATCCACCTCTTCACGGAAACCTGCCTTGAACCTTAACGAACCATACATCCAAGAGTTCATGTACTCTATCTTTTACAACAACAACAAAACAAACATTAAAGGACTATTTATTTAGATATATATAAAAATGAATCAAATTAATAATTACTTGAGAATAATTGTATATACTTCAGATATAGATGAATATAAATCAAATATAATTACATGAAGCATACAAACACACCATGGTAGAGGAAAATTAATTAATGGCCCATTTATCCATAAATAATTAAAATACATATTTGTTGATTACAATAAACAATTTCAAAGACAACAATTAGCAACAATTATATTTTACCCAATATCTTTCATACAAACCCTAGTCCAATTTCATCAAACATAAATTTACAAAAATGAAATTAATAACAAAACCAAACCCTAGATCTAGATCTACATGCACATGAAACATCCATAAAACTAACTAATTGTTCACTAAAATCAAGAAACATGGACCAAATAAGGGTATGATCTTGTTCCCCTCCCTAATTTACCCTAGTACATTCAAAACTTGGGTCTAATTTGCTTCATAAGTAGCTCAAGCACCATAGAAGAGAGAGAAAAACAAAACTCTAATTACTCACTAACCAACCATTAAAACTTCAAAAAAATTATGGAATAGTATTTTTTACTTTCTACGACCTCTCCACCAAAGGATTTGAGACCAAAACCTTCCCCCCTCAGTAGAGCAATTTTTGGCAAGGCCTCCCCACCTTTCTTTCACGGGTTGGAGTGAGTGACCCGAGGAGAAAGAAGGTGCTGCAGTTTGCTTTATATGTGGGTCATTTGTAGGGGCGGCTGGTGATTGAGGCGCCCCTACAAACGATTTGTAGGGGCGCCTCAATCACCAGCCGCCCCTACAAATAGCAACGTCGGGGGCGGCTGGTGAGTGAGCCGCCCCTACAAATCAGATCCATTTATAGGGGCGGCTCGTATCACCAGCCGCCCTTACTGTTCCATTTGTAGGGGCGGCTGGTGTCTGGGCTCCCGAGCATGCCACTGTAGGGGCGGCTCCATCACAAGCCGCCCCTACAAAAAATTCGTCCCGTTGCTACAAATCGTTTTTCATGTAGTGTCCGATGCTCCCAGCACGAACAGCCAGTTGATGCGTCCCCCACGGCCTTGGGCCTTGGCTACTGTCATCTCCTTCAATTGGTAGGCTCCCTTGCGCCATGGTCATTTGTCAATGAAATGTATTGCTTCATGCATTACCGATAGTTGGTACAAAATATTCTGAAGATATAGGTACTAGTCCCACGCGCGCTCACAATATATTATATCTCAGATAAATCAGTTTCTAAGCAAAGCCCTTTATTATCTAGCACAAATGTAGTTAGCGTGGCCTAAACGAAGACACACATTCTTGCTCCAAACTGTAGCACCTAGAGGTCTCTTGAGGTATTATATGGGTAGCATTAACAAGGTTGATATGTTCGAGTGAATTCTTACCTTCTGCACATAACAAAGGCTCAATATCTCCTTCTTGTTCAAGTAAATGTTGTCTTTTTCTTAGCCTCTTTGTTCTTAGGAATTGTAACCTCATTTCTACTTCTTTCATAGTCGGTCGCTCTCCTCCTTTGATCCTTAAGCATGCTTATGTAAGTATGGCAATTTCACTAATCTCTTCCTGGTCTGCTTCTTCCACAACTTGAGTATCCATTATTTCAATAAGAGACCCTTGGTGAAGTCCTTCAATGAAGAAATGGGACAAGCTTTGCTTTGCACCTAAATCATTAATAAAAATTGGCTTCTTTCTTGTCAAAAGTTTCACAAGTATTACTCCAAAACTGCATACATCACTCTTCTCCGTTAGTTGACCAGTATGATAATACTGTGGATCCAAGTAACCGAATGTTCCTTGAACAATTGTCACCACATGGGTCTCATCAAGTGAAAGAGATCTTGAAGCACCAAAATCTAAAACCTTTGTGGTGAAGTTGTCATCCAATAGTATATTTGAAGACTTGACATCTCTGTGGAAAATTGGTATTGTAGCTGCTGAGTGTAGATAAGCAAGAGCCCCTACTGCTTCTGTTGCAATCCTAATGCGATCATCCCATGAAAGCAAGCATTTTACTATAGTATCCGTGTGAAGAAGTTCATACAGAGTTCCATTTGAAATGAATTCATATAGAAGCAAGGGCACCACATCTTCTAGGCAGCAACCAAACAGTTTCACCACATTACGATGGATGATTTGGGACAAAATGACAACTTCATTGATAAATTGGTCTATCTCTGTTTGGTCCACTATTTTGGATTTTTTTATAGCCACCACACGTTGGTCTGATAGAATCCCTTTTATAAACTGTTCCATGTCCTCCACGTCCAAGAACATGCGTAGCATCAAAGTTGTTAGTCGCCTCCTCTAGTTCCTCCAATGAGAATATCTTTGTTTTGCTTGTAGCGTTTTCATCTGAGATCAGTTGCTCCAATAGCAAACCTTGATTTTTCTTGAAGTATGCTCGTCGGATTCTCTTTTGGATGCCTTTCTTCCACTTATTGGCAAGTAGAATTGCACCCAATGCAATAAATATGGATCCAAGGCCACAACAATTCCAATTGCAATGCCTATATGCATTTGCTGTGGTTATAAGACCATGTTAATGTTACAAAATGTAATTGCAAGGGGATTTTGTTTGCTATGACTTACCCAAAAGAAGGTTCCGTTGCTTAGTCGATATGACACACTGCCCCTTAATAGAATCAAATTCTTTACTGTGAGGGCATGGCGTGCATTTATAGCTTCTAGGGATATTTTCATATGTACCATTGTAGTAGTTTGGCAGTGAGCATTCATCAATATCTGTAGACATCTAATTTGTTATTCAATATTTATATTGACCGTTACATATATACTCTTCTCGTTCTAAATTATAAGATATTTTAGTTTTTCTAGATACATTGATTTTACTATGTATCTAGACATTAGTGTATAAGTAAGTGCATAGCAAAAGCTATGTATCTAGAAAAACCAAAATGTCTTGTAATTTGGAATTGTGAGAGTATCATATATTCTTGTATTATACTATGCTGAAAACAAATCCAATGTCTATATAATTTGATCCGATTGAACTTCGAATTACAGCTCTGTTAGAGCATGTGATCCGACTAATATGCATTCCATTTTGGGTATGAGTGATGTAATGCTCTGTAGACGTACTGAACTACTGATCGATGAGAGGGATGTACTTTTGCAGCCGCCCTGTATGTACGGATTTTCTTGGAAGCCGGAAGAACAATTGCAACGATACCCCATAAATATGCCCCCATGGGTTACGTGTAGACAAGAACTGTTTGTGCTACGGCATGCATAGTTGCTATTATTCTGTTTAGCTTGCTGACAAGTTGAATTGGTTATTGCCCATCTTATAACAATGTCATATTCCATAGAAAATCAAATTGATCTTCGACAGGGCCCTCGAAGTCAGTATCTCCTTGCTCGTTGGTATTAACTATTACCATTTCTTTCTTGGAGCTTGCATTGTTGTTTAGTGTGTTGCTGACAATCAGAGTCCCATCTTCTACTGACACATTAATCACGTGATATTGTGCACTTCCTGAGCTGAAAAGTGTAGTGTTACCTGCTGTACAATTAAGCTTGAACCTTTTGTTTCCATAACAATCTTCTTCGAGGCCAAAAGGGAAGGGAATGGTCATGTTTCCACATGACCTCCGGCAATGCTCTTTAGGCTTCGGGTTGTAATCTGCACCATAATAAATTGACAAGGAGTAAGAACAAGATGATTGAAATGATATGTTTGTGATATTTTCATTTTTTAGAGAAAAGCAAGCAAGTAGAACCTTGTTTCAGCATGCATCCATCTGAAAGGTAAGCATTGGACGTGTAAAAATCATTGGAGCAGTCGCAGGTGTAACCTCCATGTGATGCATTTCTACAAATGCTGTCGGTGCCACAACAAGCATAGCTTGCCTTGTTCATCTGCGTGATTTTGCAGCTTGGTTGGTCCATGATGGCAACCCAAAGTGCAGCGTCATCAATCTTGCTTGCATTTGTCCAACTTGAGAAAAGATCAGTCGCATTTTCCATGTAATGATCTCCAATCGACATGAAAGCCATGATGCCAGGGTGCAGAGGATGTGACTGTGCTGCCATTTTATCAGCCCGAACAATTGTTCCTTGAAAGCCTGAGATGTCGTTTTGTAGACGGATGGAACAGCAACCAAAACCATTGCAAGGCCCTTGAGTCGGCAATACCTTGCCGTGGCACATGCTCATGCAGGAGTCGATTGGGTTTCTCATAGAGTCAAACAAGTCAACATCGAAATCGCAGCCAAGAAGAAAGTGTTATAATAACTGGAGATAGTAATACCCTTAGCGGGGGCATCCCAAGATATATTGTAGGTGTTCGTACCATATTCTTCCATGCTAGTACCGTTGAAGAACATAGCAGGGACGTAAACTAAGTTACTATCTCCTATGCTTATGTAAGTAACCTGAGTTGTGCTGTTGCCCAGAAACAACTTTGGAGGTTGAGAGGTGTAGTTGCAGGTAAGCTCGAAGCCTTGTTGGAAGCAGCCGGCTCCTATGCCGAAGGGGTAGGTGATGTCGATGTTCCCACAGCTGGAGGGGCAGTGATGAGCTAAGGAGGCAGCGGACGGGATATACAGTATCCCTCCGTTGTCGCCCAAGGCAGCGAAAGCAGGCGGCATGGCCGCCAGAGCGAACGCCATGGCGCAAACCATTACTCTACTCGAGCTCATGATTAAGTCAATCAGCTTGTCTGTGTGTTGTGTGAAGCGTCGTGTCAGTACCAGACGACTGCAGTTGATCAAATGTACTGACCGGACTCACCCTCCAGCGTCCGGTCACAACCAGACCAGCGTCTGGTCAATCATTTGACCCTCCATTCACTTCCAACTCGAAATCCTATGTGAATGAAGTTTACTCCAATTGATCTTAGGGCTATTCCTGAGCTACCTAGTGTTAGGTTTGATAAGTGTGCACCACACCTAACCCACTAGACTTACCTAGGTCAAGCTACTAGTCCATACCCCCCTTAATAGTATGGCCAAAGGATAAACAAAGTCCTAAACTACTCTAAGTGTCTTTCCAACACCAAACGACACTTAGAACTAGTCCGTCCATAACCTTGTCGTCCATCCTTTAAAAACCAAAACGATTTCCATCGTCAGGGGCATGACAACATGATTGCCCAATCAATTTCCATTACCATGACCTAACTCAAATTGCCTCTGCAAAACACACGTTAGTCATAGTAATCTCGTATCGTCATTAATCACCGAAACCCAACTAGGGACCTAGATGCTTTCAATCTCCTCCTTTTTGGTGATTGATGACAACACAACCTCAAGTATGTAGAAGAGATGAGTGAGGTTTTCAACATGCTTGGTTCATATAAGCTTTTGACAATACGAACAAAGGGGTTAGACATGCTTATATGCCCCAAGCCAACATGGTGTACTCAATAGATATGAATTAAGCATGAGTACATGAAGTAAAGCTCATTTGAATCGGAGTAAAAATGCGGAAGCAAAGAAAATGAGCATAATCTAGTGACATGACATAAAAATGTATATCAATGTAGAGAGCACATATGTCACATAAGTCTCACCATCACATGTATGTAATGCAATGCATGAAGGTAAATATGAATGCGTAACGTATCACACACAAAGGACCAAACGAAACAAAATGAATCACATGCCCCCCTAGGTCTAACGCTCCCCCTAGGTCTAACATACTCGGTCCCTCTCCCCCTTTGGCATCAAGCACCAAAACCTAAGGGTCGGATGGTGGGACAGGAGCAGACTAGTCAGGCGCTGAGGTGCGGTGAGAGATCTAGAATTGAGCAGCAGCATCCTCTGACCCTGAACTCTAAGCGGGCTGACGCTCTGTCGCTGGAAGTGAAGGTGAAGCAGTTTGGGTCTGCTCAGTATCTGGTGCAGCCTGTGACTCTAGAAGTATCACTATAGGAAGTGGAGCCACATTTGCCTCTGTCGTTGTCGCTGAAGCCTCAAGTATAGGAGTGACTGTCTGAGGTGGCTCAGATGATGCAACAGACGATGGGATCGTCTTGGTAGTCCCGGTAACTGGAGCAACTGTGGTAGGGATAGGGACTCATAACTCTGGAGGTGTGGGCTGCCCTGTAAGCTCACTAAAGGTAGCACTGAGACTCCTAGAGACTGGGTGTCCGTCACTAACACTGAAGAGCTCTGAGGCGGAGTGAAGCACGTAACAATAGGAGTAAAGTGAGGACCCTGAGCTGTCACTGGTGAAGCAAACCACTGGGACACCTGCTCTGTAGGTGAAGCAAACTGAGTAGCTGGTTGTCCCTAACTCTGAAGCCCACTGGGCTGTACAGCTGGAGTCACTACAGTGGTGGTAGTAGGCTGGCCTATCTGAGGTATAGACTGCTGAGGAGCAACCCCAATAGCAGTAAAGACATGCTGCATGAAGCCAAGTAATTGCTGCTGAATCATAAGCTGCTGCTGCTGCATGGCCTACTGCTGCCTCTGAAACTCATCTTGTCAAGCCTAAACCTAAGCAAGTGTAGCTGCGGTCTCCTGTGCCTGGCGTGCCTAGTCCTGCCTCATCCGCTCAAGTACAGCTAGAAGAGCTGGGTCTATCTACGGTGGCTATGGTGGAGCGGAGCTAGAGCCACTGGCCTCTCTATCATGTGGTCGAGGAGCCATCTGTGGAATCGGCTGATAGTCATCATCAGAGCGGTTACTTGGGTCGCTCTTGACCACATCCTCCTACTATGCATCAAGCTGCTTCTCCTCTATCGCTGCAATGCCTCTGATGATCTCATCTTATTGAGCTGCTATCTCTGGTACCTCAGGGAGATGGCTCGGTTGGTGAGGTGTCCTCGCTCGACTATGACGTAGCATCTGGGTCATGTGATATGGCGGAAACTTAGTAGTAGCACCTATGTACTCTGCCATTGTCTCTGGAGACTTCTGTGTAACTGCCTTTTAGATTAGGAAAGTGATCCAATGAGCATAAGGTAGCTGACGATGACCTCTAAAACCCTCTGCTAGTGTGTCCTCCATCTCTAAAAGTATCATATCCCAAATATCAAAAGCAGTCTGAGATACAAGGTGATACACTAGCCACAACTATATGCAAGTCAGACCCTCATGGTAGCCCATCCTCGGAAGCAGACTCCTCCTCATAATAGCATCAAGGAGTCGAGCTATAGGTGTAAGATCATGTGGTGTCCTGCTCGACCCCTTGCCAAACAGCTCTATGAAGCAAGGTCTGACAATATCTGTAGGTGGCACAAGTCCGCCGTGAGGGCGTCTCGGAGGCTTTGTCTATCCATAGCATACCTCGTGAAGGCGAATAAGGGACTTTGGAATCCTCAGTATCTCTCTGACCCTTGAGCTCTGGAGCCTATAGTCACGGCCTCTGAATGCAAAGTGAATGAATCTGTGCCTCAGGTCAATCCAAAGAGAGAAGTAGAACTCACGGACCCATGATGGAACATAGCGGCCAGTCCATCCAAGAAGATCTGCCAAGCCTGGCAAATAGGAAAGGTGAGGATGGATCTGCTCGCCTACAGCTACAACAAGGGACTCTAAGGAGCAGACTCTCTGAGATCTAAAGGCAATACCACTGTTAAGATAAGCATGATAGAAATCCTCCTACAACACAGTATAGAAGTTCTCTGATGCACACTCATCCTGCCTCGGCGGAAACCAATCCTCAAATTGTACGAAGCAGAGATACTACACTTGTCTGGCTGTGGCTGCCCTCAGGTCAAGATGAACCACCAGAGGTGAACCATGTGGTCTGGGAGGTGGACGAGAGCCCCTCCTCTGTGTCTCAGGCCTCAGTGCTGGCTCTGATGATGTAACAGATGATGAGAGCGTCTCTGTAGTACCAGTAACTAGAGCAACTGTGGAAGATATAGGGACACGCAACTCTGGTGGTGTAGGCTGCCCTGTCAACTCGCTGAAAGTAGCACCGAAGCTCCTAGAAACTAGGGTCTCAGTCACAAGCATGGAGGAACTCTGAGGCGGAGTGAAGCCCGTAACAATAGGTGTGAAGGAAGGACCCTGGGCTATCACTGGCGAACCAACCACTGGGACACCTGCTCTGTAGGTGAAGCAAACTGAGTAGCGGGCTATCCCTGACTCTGAAGCCCACTGGGCTGTACAACTGGAGTCACTGAAGTGGTGGTAGGCTGGCCTATCTAGGGTGTAAACTATGGCGGTGGAGCCCCAATAGCAATAATGACATGCTGCATGAAACCAAGTAACTGTTGCTGAATCAGGAGCTGCTACTGCTGCATGGTCTGCTGCTGCTGCTGTATGGCCTACTACTGTCTCTAAAACTCGTCCTGTCTAGCCTGAACCTGTGCTAGTGCAGCTGTGGTCTCCTGGGCCTGGCGTGCCTGATCCTACCTTATTCGCTCAAGAATAGCTAGGAGAGCGGGGTCTGTCTACGGTGGCGGTGGAGCTGAGCTAGAGCCACTGGCCTCTCTGTCATGTGCACGAGGAGGCATCGGAGGAACGGGTTGATAATCATCATCAGAACTATCACTAGGGTCGCTCTCGACCACACCCTCCTACTGAGCATCTAGTTGCTCCTCCTCTGACATTGCAACGCTCCTGATGATCTCATCCTGCTGGGCTACTGTCTAGGTGTCCTCGCACTGCTATGACGGAGCATCTGAGTCATGTTATAAGGGGAACTCTATAGTGGCACCTGTATACTCAGCCATTGTCTCTAGAGACTTCACTGTAACTGCCTTGTGAATCAAAAATGTGATCCAGTGAGCATACGACAGCTATCTGTGACCTCTGAACCCCTCTGCAAGAGTGTCCTCCATCTCTGATAGTATGACATCCCAAATATCAAATACTGGCTGCTGCACCAGAGAGTTCAGCAGCCACAACTAGATGCGAGTCAATCCCTCGCGATAACCCATCCTCAAGAGCAAAGTCCTCCTCATGATAGCATCAAGCAGCCTAGCTGTAGGAGTAAGGTCTCTAGGTGTCCTGCTCGAGCCCTCACCAAATGGCTCTATGAAACATGGTCGGACTAGATCTGTGGGTTGCACAAGCCTGCCGTGAGGGCGTCTAGGAGGCTCTGTCTAACCATAGCAAACCTCATGAAGGCGAATGGGTGACTCCTGAATCCTGAGAATCTCTCTGACCCTCGAGCTCTGCAGCCTGTAGTCATGGCCTCTGAATGCGAAGTGTATGAACCTATGCCCTGGGTCAATCCAAAGTGAAGAGTAGAACTCATGGACCCATGATGGAACATATCGGCTAGTCTGTCCAAGTAGGTCTGTCAATCCTAGCAAATAAGAGAGGTGAGGGCGGATCTGCTCTCCCGCTGCTGCTACAAGTGCCTCAATAGAATAAACTCTCTGTGATCTGAAAGCCACTTCACTGTTAAGATAAGCATAATAGAAATCCTCCTGCAGTGGTGTATAGAATCCCTCTAAAGCACGCTCATCCTGCCTCGACGGAAACCAGTCCTCGAACTGCACGAACCTGAGCTGTTGCACCTGCTTGGCTGTGACTACCCTCAGGTGAAGGAGAGTCACTGGAGGTGGACCCTGTGGTCTAGCAGGTGGACGAGAACCCCTCCTCTATGTCTCTGGCCTTGGTGTCACCTAGGTACGAGTATGACCAGAGCGTCATAGCTGTGGCTGAGGTGCCTGCTCTGTCTCCCCGATCTGCTCTGCCTGCTCTGT